GGTCCTCCGGAGTCTCTGGTGTCAAAACTTACATACAAAGTACACTGCGGCCTCTCTTCGCCATAGTCTACTGTCAATGTAAAAGCAACATTTGAATAACGGTCATATTTTCGATATTTACGCATCTTCACACTTTTGCCACTGGTTGACAGCGTAACCTTTTTACTTTCACTCTCGCAACGCTATTACTACTTAGTGAACACCGATTCATTCTCAAAAATGCATACGAGAAGAAATACATCAAAACCTTCACTTGCCTTAATGACGACAATATTCAGTCGATACAATCTCTGAAAACTTATTAAACACAGAAAGCGCGTGAAACCGGCAGCTATTTATATACGAACACAAAGTACTAAGAAAGATTCACAAATTAATAAAACGAATTCTTCGTAGCTCGCAGGTGGTCTCACAGACCCTGCGCGATAGTTAGATAACATATTTTAATAATAAATACAGTGGGTGATCGGTTAACGAACAGTTCGGTTAGCGAACAAATCTGATAACGAACACTTTTACGAAAGATTTTTATAATCGGATAGCGAACACTTTACTGAACAAAGATAAAAAAAAGCCACAGAAAATCACGAATACCGACTGATTTTCCTTTGTCTTCAGGTAACAATTCGAAACCGTTTGGAGCGCTGGAGACGTCAACATCGACGCTCAACCCGATATCAACCGGATAGTATTCCTCCGAATGTTGAAACTCTCTTTTGTATTTCCAGCTTTTTGTTTACCTTTCCGACAAATAATATTTTATAGTCTTCGCGAAACTGTCGGACGGGCACTTGTTAAGTTTTGCGTCGGGGTTTATTTACGAAAGTTGAAAGTTTAACTGTTCCACCGGATATTCGTTAACGTTTTATTACCAAATTTCGAATTTCATCCGGGCCTTGCATTTAAATAATTTTTGTGGGCTAGCTGATTTCTGTTCTCTAAATTTTTGTAATTGTTTTTCTGAACTTTTTATTTAAAAAAGAAACTGATATTATTATGGGGCTTAAAAAGAGGAATGGCAAGAACTGTGCTTACCGTAGAAACCAAGTAAGAGATAATAGCCAAGATAGAAAGTGGGCGCAAGATGTCTGCTGTTGCTAGGCAGTATGGCCATTTTACAGCTCATCCTGATCCTGAAATTGATCTGACGACGGAAGAACTCCAAGAACTCTCAAATGAAGAATACCAAGAAACTCAGAGAGATGTGTTTTCTTTTTGAAAAAGAGAAAGACGAAAGAGGACCAATGTCGCAATCTGCTACTAAAGAGTTTCTGGAGTAGTGGGAGGATGTCAGAACAACGATCATCCAAAGTGGCATTCAAACCAAAATAAGGTTAATGAGTTTGCGGATCTCTACAATTTCAATACTATTAATCACTTCCGAAAAATCCTGAAGAAAAGAGAAAAGCAATCGACATTGGACAGATTCTTTAACACCCACAAATGGAAAAATACATGACTAATAAAAATGCAAGACTGCATATATATGTATTTTTATTATTACATATAAATAAACGTAGTAAAAAATTTTATTATTTTTATTTTTTGGAGTCTCCGGAACGAATTAATCAAATTCCCATAAAAACCTATGGTAAATCTATAATCGGTTACGAACAATTCGGATAACGAACAAAATTTTGGAACTGATTATGTTCGTTAACCTATTACCCACTATATTCTTTAAAAAAATCTAAAAATATTTATATTTTTCCAACTTTTTAACCCAATCAACATGCTATTATAACATTTTGCATAGCAACGATCATTTTCGAAAAAAAAATATTTCGGGTCTGACAGACCGGTGCGAATCACGATGGGGATAAAACAATAACCAATCAATTCGTCGCTGTTGCTGATAGCGAGTGTCGCAATAAGTTTTATCACGTTCAAGTTGTCACGGTGTGTATATTAAACCCTATAGTATCATCATTTATTTATATTTTCGTATTTTTGTCTTTTTGTTATAATATTGTTTTCAAAAGTATTGTCTAATTAATTTTTAATTACAGTCGACCCCCCCTATAACACGGTAGATACGTTCCTGTTTTTATGAATCCAGCTTCTAAGAGTCCAGCCAATCACAGCCCGGCACGTTTCAAACAGCCGTACGGACTACGGCTGTTTGAAAGGTTTCTTCCATAAAACTAATCGATTCTAGACTAATTCGACTCAACATTTCCAAAATACGTATAATTTTTTGGGAATAATCCATATAAACTATGCTATAAACAAAAAATTGTAGGATTACTTACCGAGTGTGCACCGTTTGACTACGCCGTTGCTTAAGCTTGTTTTCGTCGTGGAGATTGTCATCGAATGGCGCTCGCGTGCTTCTTCATAAATTATTTCTTTTTGCGAAAAATTCACTGAACTTTAGAGACATCATTAATATAAATATAATTTTTGTGGACGTTAAATAATAAACGGTTTTTGGTAGGTCCGCTGCTCGTTTAAACTCAACGGATTGTGCAATCCTGTCGAGTTGGCGATGACGTTTTACCGAATTATAGGAGTTTTTTCAGCATGTTTGTATGAATACTGTCGCAATTTTTTCGCCGTGATATAGGAATCCGAATTATAGGAACCCGTGTTATAGGGGGGTCGACTGTATTTTATTTTCATTATATGATTTTTATTTATCACTTTTATAATTAATTTATGATTATTCCTCGTATATTAGGTAATGCAACTTGGCTTTTTTTTCACATTTAATAACCAATCAGCGGCTTGTGAAAACAGTCTAGCTATAAATTGTCAGGAAATATCCCGCCTCCTTCTGCAATGATCTTGAAAATTGAATGTAAACAGTCGGTAAAAATAATGTTGTTTTATTCGTGTTATCAGCTAGAAATTGATAATTAATTTCTTACCGATCCCGAGATAACTCCGGCTTGGTACAATACATAGTATTACGAAAAAACCGGGTTTTTACGTATAACTTTTCCAAAAATAAAGGAATCAGTACCGGACAGTGCTTTCTGACCAGTGCAAATGTCATAAGTATTTTGCCGCTAAATTTTTTATGCGTTTTATTAATTAGCTAATTAATTGGGCTATTGTTTTTATAGGAAGTTTTTATCAAATTAATTATATCGTTCTAAACTTTTATTGGTTGGTTTGACTTCAGTAAAGTTTTTAAAAATACTATTGGGTTTTTTATGACATCAGAAGGTTTTTTGTTTTTTATTGAGTAAAAATTTTTTCCTATCCTTTTTTAGTCCTTCCGTATTTTAATAGAATAAAAATCAGAAATTTTGTGTTATATTTTGTGTTATATTATGTGGTAAATTAGTTCTCCTGTTTTAAACCGCACACATGAGAATATCCAGAGAAAGCTTCCAATATCTGTTCTCAAGGTCATCCAGAATTAGATGTAGAGAAAAAATTACAGCTATGCGACAATTATATCGCGTAGCTATTATTATTTTATAATCTGATAATCTAAATTAATCTAATAAAAATGATTTTAATTATAATCTGCATTTATTATATATTCATTTTCTAATGCTACACAACAAAACAAACCTAAAAAGGCAGCCCAAGCTACATTCCAAGTAATTATAAATGAATCCCTGCTTTTGAATGCGTCACGACTTTTTTGTCGCTATGCAGAACGTGGCACAAAAAAAAGAAAAAAAGAAAAGAAAAGAAATGAATGATGATAATACAAATTGCGAAAATTATTTAATTTTTCATAATTAAATATTTATAACATTCAGGAATTGAAATGGATGCATTTTTAAATATTATTATGTGAAGATTTTATATTATGAAAAAAACAAATTACAGACTATATTACATAAAAAATTGAAAATAAATTTTATGTTTAAAAAATGTAAGGAAACTATCTGTTAAATCTTGAAGACAGCATTCTTATGAATAAAATGAAATAAAATCTTTGTCAATTAGTCGATTTACAACCCAGAAAAAGTTTTGTTAATAGAGCCATAAAACAATTAACGTTTATTGACTCTCGCGGTAGGGGGTAACGCGAGGTCTATTAACAAATCTTTTTGCAGTAGTATAAATTTCTACTAACTTCACATGAATGCGTCATCTTTCTTCCTCATTTACAAAAAAAAAAAAAAACCAGATGACGATCGATGAAACGCGAGTTGAAATTTGATATGTTTATTAATTGCGTTTTCTCCATCAAATTACATAAAAATAAATATGAAAAAATTAATTCAAGTACAGTAGAGCATTGATTATCCAAAACAATTCAGGACTGGGGTTGTTCGAATAACTCCTCATTTACAAAAAAAAAAAAAAAAACCAGATGACGATCGATGAAACGCGAGTTGAAATTTGATATGTTTATTAATTGCGTTTTCTCCATCAAATTACATAAAAATAAATATGAAAAAGGCAATTTTGTCAATATACACATGTAACTGTAACTTATACTACTAGATAGAAAACAAAGCGCAGGATTTAACGGAGAAATTGTAGTTTTTTTTACGTGAGAAATAAAATTGAATAATTATATATTAAAATCACGGGGTCTGATAAACCCACGCGACTCAGGCAAGGGCAAAAGATTTTGGGACTTACAGAGGGTTAAGAAAATCATTGCAGAGCGCCATCTGGTAAATGTTTGTAGATTACTGTGTTAATAGCGAGGTTGAGTCCGAAGTTTTAAACTCAAAAACGTGCCTAGAAGTTTGCAATGGTGTTTGGATAGTCAGTGGAATCATCCTCGACATTCCAAACAGCATTGTCAAACTTCTAGGCTTACACGAAACTGGCGCTGAACGTACGACGTACACGTTTTCGCGTTTAAAACTTCGACCTCAACCTCTCTAATGAATTGAAGCCGGAAGTAAAATTATGAAAACTTTATAATATTTTGTGGCGCCCCTGTGAGGAAGCAGCAGCGTCCTACCGCGCGGCGGAGCACTTTGGAAACCGCTGATCTATATAATACTGTTCTCGAGATTAAGGAAGACATGAAGACTGACGGGTGTCATTGGGAAGTTATAGGTCTACAATTTTTTAAAATTGCAGCCCAAAACTTGATCCAATCAGTGAACCGCTGAGCCATTTATCGAAACTTTTCTAAAGCGAGTAAATTTGATTTTATAGCAAAACTATTTTATTTCATATGTAATACAGTACTGAGAGAGGTAAAATATTGTACAAAATATGTCGATATTTATTCATAAACTAAAAACTGTCATGTTATAATATATCAGGAAAAATGATTATTTTTCCTGATATATTTTCCTGATAGATCAGGAAAAATGATTATTTTTCCTGATCTATTGATCCCTTAGTATTAATTTTTCCTAAATACAAGCGAGTTAATCCACGTCGTGTAGTTTTTCATACATAAGGTCGGTACGATAAGTATAAAACTATTTACGAGTACTATTTTTAATGTTATGAGGATATTGATGATACAAATTCCTCAAATAAATATTGCTTGATATTGTTTCAGGTGTTGTAAATAAATTTTTATCTTGTGACTTTTTCGTCGTAATGGATCGACTAACATTTTGGATTTATATTCTGAATCCTCTTTTTTTCCTCTATATTAATGCAGACAGAAGAAACCCTCACTTTCTTACAGAAATAGATATGGTAATATATATATTTTTTAATTGCTCTAAAATTCTCCAATACGCTATGCGTAATATTTAAGTTAAAAGCCTTTTTTATATCTAAACAAATAAACAAAGTATATTTATAAAAGTTTAATATATATTTTAATATTTTTTCAGTGCATGTTATACTTATTGGTGTTGTCAGTCTCTATTGTTGGATCTGTTCTCTGCTACCTCTTCCTGCAAATCCCGTTTTCATATATTGTGAACAAAGTATTTTCACCGGAAAGTTTCACAGAAAATATCCATAAAGATGATAAAAATCACAAATTGGAAACAAAGAAAAAAATTTCCTAATTTCCAATACAAGTATTTTTAAGATGTCCGCAGAACCGTAAAGTCGAACATCGTACCTGGCGCCTCCGTTTCAATTTTAATTACATAAAATATCAAATTAAATATTACTTTCTGGTTTTTCAAGAAATTTCAATTTTGTGAATGTTTAGAAATTATAGAAAAAACAAAAATAAAACATACTTATTAATTAATTTTTAGTATAAACTATGCTTCCATGTTTTATTTATAACACAATATTTACTTTCCTGGCTATTATATATGACAGATGGAGAGTATAGCGTTCATTCAACAAATGACTTGTAGATTTTTACATTTTTGAACCCAGAATAATTTGAAACGTCGGAAAATGCAAAAACAGATCAAAAATTTTTTACAGTACTGTTATATGGATGCTAGTGTGTATGTGTGTGGAGGAAGCACGATTTTCTTCACCCTGTTTGTAAGTTTAATATCGCCCGTGCTTTTTGACCACAATTTCTGAAATTTGGCAAGAAGGTATGTTTGTCAGGGTGATTGATGGTATTAAATTTTCTTGATCTAAGGTCGCGATTATTTCCCAAATTGGCGACGCAGAAATGAAAGTGACGTGCCACATCGGAATAGTGGCCACTGTCTTCTGGAGGATCTGGTATTTTTCATCCATTTCATTCAGAATTAAATTCCGCCTGTTCACTTCCATTGTGACTCCGGTAGCTGTTTATGCTAGTGTCCTGGAAGACATCGGAAAACATCAATAGAAGGCTCAATGTCTTCCAACACAAATGCCTCAGACGAATCCTAAAGATCCGATAGTTAGATCATATCACCAATGAAGAGGTTCTCCGGAGTGGGATGTGCAAACTTCATAACATTGTCGCCAGTAGGGGAGTCCGACTGGCCGGCCACATTTTTTGTATGGAGAGCAATAGGTTTTCTAAGACAGTCATGAAATGAGTTCTGCTGGTGCCAAACGACGACGAGGACGCAGCAAAAATACTTAGCGTAGAACTTTTCTTCAAGATTTGAACATTTGAACATGCTCAATGTGACATCGGAAGATACTGAGGCTCTGGCCCATGATCGAAATCGATGGATGATAGTTACTACTCGGTATGCTACTTACTTGTTAGCATCGAAGGAACTACTACTACTACTACTACTACTACTACTACTACTACTACTACTACTACTACTACTACTACTACTACTACTACTACTACTACTACCACCTCGGTCTTAGTAGTAGGGTGAGGAGACAATGGAGATCGGACGTATCTCTTGTGGGATTTAATAATGTTTTACTCATTACTAGCATTTACAATTTTGTATAAAACCCATTACAACCGTCAATATTAGGCTTTTTGCCATTTTAGAATAGCTAAAGATATAAAAACATTTAAAACAAAACATGAAAAAAATATCTTCACCAAATATTTACGGAAAAGTTAAACAATTCATTGCTGGATTTTCTGAATAATGATTTCACATAACAACTCGTTATGTTTCATAATTTTAAAATTTTATGTAAACTACTTAGAAAGAAAAACATATTACAAACTGATTTTCAATTTAAATTGAAAATCCTAATAGAATTGTTACAAACTTTTCTTTTGTGTGTGTACGTTATAATAATAACAAATGAAATAATGTATTTATTAAGCTGACTTCGTATTCTTCAAATACACTGCAAAAGGTAGGAATTCTTAAATTTCATTCATGTTATATATTCACAAAGTCTTCGAGGATGTAAATGCATACGCTTCAAGACACTTCTAAAACCGAATGAAACAAAATGCTAAAAAAAATTGTATATTATGTATAAGAGAAATTTTCAAGAAAGAATTATGGTGAAAACTGCTTAGGCGACCGCCTGCATTCGACGGGCACCTGTCAAAACGGGCAAAAATTTCTGGCACCGAATAGTTTATCCATAGAGTGTTCTTATAAGTTACCTGTATTAAACGACCACCTGTGTAACGCGACAGCGGGCATCGATTTTTGGTCCGAAACAACATACAACAACTGTAATAAGCGACCACTTCCGCGAATATATTTGGTCTAAACTATTGTTCGAACCCATTTCAACAACGTTTCCCCCTCGTAATATAATGAATTAGTCTAAACTCTCTTTCCAACCCACTTGCAGGTGTTAATAAATTAGTCTAGCAACAAAGGAAATTCATTTAAATTTGTTGGAAAATGTCCGAAAAACGAAAGAAATGCAAAGTACTGTCGTTAGAAGATCGTGTTAAAGTTATCACAATAGCAATTAGCGGCGAAATTTAACTGTGGGAAAGCGAAATTGATTTTACCGTTGGCCTACAGTATTTTCCTTAGGGGGTATAAAATATTGTACACGATATATTAATCGGCTGATCTCATCGTTTGATAAGATTTATTTATTTATATTATAAAAATATATTCATTTATTTATTATAAATAAATAAATTTTATCAAACGATGAGATCAGCCGATTAATATATCGTGTACAATATTTTATACCCCCTAAGGAAAATACTGTAGGCCAACGGTAAAATCAATTTCGCTTTCCCACAGTTAAATTTCGCCGCTAATTGCTATTGTGATAACTTTAACACGATCTTCTAACGACAGTACTTTGCATTTCTTTCGTTTTTCGGACATTTTCCAACAAATTTAAATGAATTTCCTTTGTTGCTAGACTAATTTATTAACACCTGCACCTAATTTCAAGGGTGGGATATGTGCCCGGGATGGGTTCGAACGAGAGTTTAGACTAATTCATTATATTAAGAGGTGGAAACGTTGTTGAGATGGGTTCTTACAATAGTTTAGACCAGATACATTCGCGAAAGTGGTCGCTTATTACAGGTGTTGTATGTTGTTTCGGACCAAAAATCGATGCCCGCGGTCGCGTTACGCAGGTGGTCGTTTAATACAGGTAACTTATACGAAGACTCTAT